GCGGACATGGTCAGGAGGCTAACAGTGGGTGTTGTTAACAACAAGTGAAAACGGATGAGTGGGAATTTATGAAGAGCAGATAGCAATATATCGAACGCGACGTGGTTGGGATCATGGGCGATGGGCTGAATGCTTGTGACGCAGTAAGAAGACCACGTACCTGGTCGATTGTTGGCGCAACCCCCTTCCCGGACTGTCCTCGTGCGCCTGCTACTCCCTATGCCACAGACGGATGTTTACTACCTGCAGCGCGAGAAACGTCCAACAGCGACCGGGAAGATGCGTAGACCGACTTGATACCGTGAAGGAGGGAGGATCAGTACGCGACCGGCTTCGTCGACATCATGGAGTCCATGGCCAAGTTTACGAGGCCCAAAGCTATGACCAGCACCCGGAACGCTGTTGTTCCGCCGCCGCACGTGCTCTCGCGCCCCTTTGGGGACGCCTTCTACTCTACTAATACTGTATAGTCATGACCAGCAGGTGAAGGGCGTCATGCACCGAGTGCAGCCTCGATGACATGTGCATTACTTAGCTGATGAGCTCTTGTAGCAGTCTGATCATCCCATCTACTTTCAGGCGACATTTGTACGGTTATATCACATTCTTGCACTGCGGGAAGATTCCGGACTAGTATTCACACGATATCCCAAAAGAGATTCATTCGCAGATATCCCGATGCCCCGATGCAGATGCGTCTACCTGAACAAGGCGTCTAGGCCAGTGGTGAACGGGTGTTCTATTCAAGCAAGATGCCATCATTTGCTCCACAGGCTTAAGTCCGAGTAAAAGCCGGACGATGATGATGGTGGTGAGGGGCAAACCAGCAGCTTCTCATTGGGTGGTAGACGTCATTAGCTCCTCATTTCCGTGCCCCTCAATTGCTTCGCCAACCTCGTGCTCGCTAGGTTGCTCAATTCATGCTTTTTCTACGTCCAACGTGTATTAGGACATCGCGCCTAGCTGTTTCTACTGTCCTCAGACTTGCAAGACCAAACCATTCCCCGAGCATTCTCGTGCGTACGCTAGCGACCATGACGACCAATCCAACCAAGTACAAGTTCAACCACTCCATGTGAGTACCCGCATGGCCATTTGCCCTACTCGACACCTGCAATTGGTCAATTACTGATTCTTATTCAGGATCCGTGTCAAGGATCCAAAGCGCTCCATCGAGTTCTATGAGTTTCTGGGCATGAAAAAGATCAATGAGATCAAGCAACCCGACGCCGGATTCGATCTCCACTTTCTTGCATACGACAGCCATAAAGCTGCTTCCCACGGAAACCACTGGACAGACCGCGAAGGCATTGTCGAATTGACTCACAACTACGGAACCGAAAATGACCCAAACTACAAGATCACAAACGGCAACACGGATCCCCACAAAGGCTTTGGCCATCTCTGCATTTCGGTCGATAACATCCAAGCTGCATGCCAGAGGCTAGAGGACGCTGGCTACAAATTCCAGAAGAAGCTAACGGACGGGCGTATGCGCAACATTGCTTTCGTGCTTGACCCTGATGGCTATTGGGTCGAGGTGGTTGGTCAAAAGCCTCTCGAGGAGACTGAGAGTGTCAAAGACACAGATGTTGGCACATATCGTATGGTAGGTGATATGAAACGGACTCATCTGGACACAGCTGACAGAAGCAGAACCATACCATGATTCGCGTCAAGGATAAAGATGCCTCTCTCAAATTCTACCAGGACGTCATGGGTATGAAGCTCAAGCGCACGTTAGAAAATCCAAGTGCTGAGTTCGACCTCTTTTTCCTCGGCTATGGTCAGGACTCACCAGAGACTACGGCCACTGGTGTTAATCCAATTGTGGACAGCGAAGGTTTGCTCGAATTAACATACAACTATGGCACTGAAAAAGACGCCAACTTCAAGTACCACAACGGAAACAACGAGCCTCAGGGATTTGGTCACATTTGCATTGCTGTCGACGATCTGGAGGCCGCATGTGCTCGTTTTGAGGAGAAGAAGGTCAACTGGAAGAAGAGGCTCACCGATGGTCGCATGAAGGACATTGCGTTTGTGCTAGGTATGCTGTTTTCTTTTTGGTACACAAGTATGGCAACTGACAATCTTTGCAGATCCCGACGGTTACTGGATCGAGGTTGTGCAGAATGAGAAGCTCAAGACACGTAGTCATTGGTAAAAGCGCGGCGCCAACCACCCACGCATCATGTACATACCCCACGCAACACCAATACACCCTCCAATGAATGCAACCCTACTTTCAGGCTAGCCGGTTATGCTGCACGAACGATGCATCCCATGATCCCACTACCAAAGCCTTTGTTAGCTGCTCTGCAAGTTCTGTCTGAAGATCAAATATGCACTAACTACCATTACACACAAAATACGTTATCAGGCTGTTTGCATCTTAGCTGAGAGCTAATTTGAGTAGTTATGTATCCTGAATGCGGGTTCGTCCATTCAGTTCGCAATATAGCGTACCCCGTGGGGTAAAAGTGCGGGGTAACCAGAGGCAACACAGCCCGCCGAACCAGAAATCTGACGTGTCGTAACAGATGTACTGCACGAGCCGGCATCGGCTTGTTACAATGATCTTGCATACAGCACTGGGCATGGACCAACTAGTTGGATATATATACATCTCTATTCACCCCCCGACTACGAACTATTCCTCGCCTCGAAAACCCTGAAGTACATCAATCAAAGATACTAATTACTGAGCATAACCCTCATTGAAGGATCTGAGGTCAGATTATTGAAAGAGTTTGATAGCCTTTGTTCCCATAGATCTACGCCTAGACGAGGCAACCAACAGAGTCTTCATTCAGCATGGTCGCTGTTATGCATACAAAAAAACGCAAGATTCTTATACCAGAGAAGGTGTCACCGGACGGCCTAGCGCTACTGAAAGATGAGTTTGATGTGGACGAAAAGAAGGGACTCAGTCCTGAAGAGCTCAAAAGCATCATTGGCGAATATGATGCACTAATCGTTCGATCCGAGACCAAAGTGACGGCAGATCTTCTGAAGGCAGCTAAGAATATGAAAGTGGTAGCCCGTGCAGGTGTTGGTGTTGACAATGTTGATGTTCAAACCGCTACTCAGCACGGCATTATTGTCGTGAACTCACCCTCCGGGAACATCAATGCTGCAGCGGAGCACACTATTGCGTGTGAGTGCGTCACAGTCACGCAAATGGAGTGTCTGCTGACATACTAAAGTGTTGATGGCTGTTGCCCGGAATGTGGGCGATGCTTCACAAAGCATCAAGGCGGGCAAATGGGAGCGTGGCCGGCTCGTAGGGGTTGAGGCTAAAGGAAAGACTCTTGCTATTGTGGGATTGGGCAAAGGTAACTCAGAAGAATTGAGGAGTTGAGTACCGCTTACATTGTTATAGTTGGTCTCACAGTCGCTCGGATCGCTAATGGCCTGGGCATGAGACTCATCGCATACGATCCCTATGCCAATCCGAATTTGGCAGCAGCAGCATCAGTGACGCTCAGGCCTAGTCTTGCTGAGATCTTGAAAGAGGCAGATTTCTTGACGCTGCACACGCCTCTCATAGCTTCAACCAAAGGCATGATTGGAAAAGCCGAACTAGAAACCATGAAGCCCACTGCGCGAATTCTGAATGTTGCGCGGGGCGGGATGATTGATGAAGATGCTCTGGTGGAAGCTCTGGACGCTGGTAAGATTGCAGGAGCTGGAATCGACGTCTTCACTTCGGAGCCTCCTGAGCCAGACTCGTCTGCGACTCGATTAATCGCGCATCCAAAGGTGGTTGCAACGCCTCATCTTGGTGCCTCAACCACTGAAGCTCAAGAGAATGTCTCCATTGACGTATGCGAACAAGTGGTGTCGATCCTGTCTGGAGAGCTTCCTCGCACGGCAGTCAATGCACCGATAGTCCTTCCAGAGGAATATCGCACGCTACAACCCTTTATCAGTCTCGTTGAGAAGATGGGTAGTTTGTATACCCAACACTACTCCAGCGTCAAGAAAGATTCTTTCCGCACAACCTTCGACCTGATATACGAAGGAAAGCTAGCCACCATCAACACCACCAAGCCTCTCTTCGCCGCACTAGTCAAAGGCCTGCTGACGCCCATCACCTCAAGCGATGGCCTTAACATCAACATCGTCAACGCCGAGATCCTCGCCAAGGAACGTGGTATCCTCATCAACGAGCAGCGCTCACGCGAAAACGTCGAAGACAAGCCCTACGCCTCATTCATCACCCTCCGCGCCCGCGCCTCCCGCTCCGTATCCCAGCAATCTCGCTCCAGCGTTTCGGCATCTGCCGCGGCACGCTCAACCCGAGACAACAACAGCACAGACGACGACCAGATCATCCAAGGCTTCGTATCCGGCAACAGACCCTTTATCTCGCGCTTGGACAGGTTCAAAGGCGAGTTTGTGCCGCGCGGCACCCTCATCATCTGCCGAAATTTCGATTCCGTAGGCAAGATTGGGTATGTGGGGAATCAGCTGGGGAAGGCGGGCGTGAATATCAAGTTTATGAATGTGGCGCCGTTGGATGAGGAGGTCGAGGAGCAGCGATTGAATGGGGAGGAGGGGGGTGGGGATAAGAAGGAGGGGAGTAAGGAGGCGCTGATGATTTTGGGGGTGGATAAGCCGGTTGGGGAGGAGGTGCTTAAGAGGTTGATTGGGGAAGAGGGGGTGTTGGAGGCGAGTGTTGTGAATTTTTGAGATGGATTTATGGGGGTGTCGGATAGGTTTGGGATAGTCAATGGCAGCGGGACTTGTTCCGTAGGATATAGAGTCGTGTCTGTTTGCGGATTAGTACCTGGATCCCTTAGTACATGAGCAACGGTAAGTGTCAGCAATTGTCATGAGCGGTACTCCTGCACACACCCTTACCATCCATGAACTTTGACTATATCGACACTACTAATCTTACATAAGGAAATATATTGCCCATCATTACAATCCATGCTTCAGTGATCCCATTAGTCAAGGAAGAACCCATAGTTGCACGATTACCCCACATCCTACAATTGCAGGTGGGCAAACGCAATACGCGCATCATCAGCAGTACTTCCAAGCTTCTGCAACTCTACATATCGCTCAAATCCAGTTCTACTACTCGCGCGCAGAACATCGAAATCTCTTTGTGTAGTTTGATCCTCAACCCTGTACGGCCAAGGCTGAACAATGGTATGTTTCTTCTTGACAGCCATCCCACACAGCGCAGCGAACTGCGTAATCCTGCACTCATCCATGAAAGTATCAAAGTGCTTGTGCCACGGTTTGAACATATCGGAACAGGCGATACGCAAGATTAGGTCGGGATGTGCAGCTAGATTCATTCCAGCTCCGTTCATGTTTGCGCGGGATTTGTCGAAGGGTATGTACTCTCTGAGGCGTTCCATAGCCGGTACGAGTGACTGGAGATCTCCTTGCGGGTGTGCTTCGCGATCTACTTCCACGGCGGCATTTATGAAGAGAAGAAGTAGTGTGGCGTTTGGGTTTTGTGATGTTGGCTTGAGGAGTTGTGAGAAGAGTTGTAGACAGGTGTGCGGGCCGACGTAACCTCGATCGCATATGTTGGAGATCTGTGCGAATGTCAAGGGTCAGGCATTGTGAGGACTGGGAAGTGCGTATCTCACCTCTATACGATCAAACCTCATGTCGAGATAGGGTCCTATATCTCGAGCATCCATGTTGAACAGGCGGAATGAAACGTTGGAGCTCCGTAGCCTATCGCAGAACCTGAGAAGGAGTCCTTTGAGGTAAAAGAAAATGGCACCGAACTCGTCCGCTTTCGCAGCTGGGGCGTCCTCCATATACTCGTTAAAACGCCAGCCACCGCGGGGAGTAGCGTCATCGTTCATTAGCCAGTCATTTTGAAAGAACAGCGTGCTAGATTAACGTCAGTTCTTGATCAGTTCATGGAATCAAAGGATCCTTTCGGGTTGGGTGTGTCAAAGTCCGCAGTGGAACAACCATAAGGCAGCAAGATGCCAGTATGGCGAAAGTACATTTCTCCCTGGCGAACACCAGCAAGCAGTTTCAGCATAGCTCGATCACGATAGTCGACTCTCTCGGGAGCCAGCGTAATGCGGCGGCGAATCCGTTGAGCAGCTTCTGCTGACAATCCTTCGCGAACCTGGCAAAACGTCGCCAAGCGAGCCCACTCGTCTTTCTTCAGTGCTATGCTTAGCTTTCGGTCATTTACCTCAAATGTCTTTGCTTGTAGTGCATTGCCGGGCTTGTTCTTGATCTTCTGGCAAACATCTTCGATCATAGGAAGGATGGTGGACTGGATAGCATGTACCATATCATGGGGAAGTAGTGCTGAGTACCATAAATGGATAATTATCGGTACTGCGACGTCTGGTTCGAACTGAAGTGCAGCGAGGAGCATGATGGCATTGCGAGCCACGACGACGAAATCTATATCGTTTAAAACAGCAACGCATTTACCTCCATATCCCTCTGGCAGCCCGGCGATAGTCTTGATGACGTTCCGAAGATCACCCGATGCGGCAAAGAGGAGGTTGAAGTCGTGGCTCGTTGCACTGGTCATACCTTCATTATCCTGAAACTTCAAGATATCGAGAGCAGGCATGTTGCCCCAGAGATACTTTCTATTGCCGAACGTGGTGTGTGAGGGACCCTCGCCGATAAAATCGGGCTGGCGACCAGTACGATACCACTCGGGTTCCCAAGTGTTTTTCATGAATGGGGATTTACATGCTTGCTTGTGTCGAGACCAATCTGCAGTCTGGCATTCCTTTGAGCAGTACTGTTGTTGCGTCAGTGGGTTGAATAGGGCTATGAAAATGGGCTATCTGGCCACGAAAGATGAGCGAGAAAGACGGAAGACATACTTGAACCAGGTGGCAGCTATTACATCCGCGCCCAGCATGTGCCTGACATGGTATCTCCTTGCTGTTGGAACAAAGCAGCGGATTACTGAAAGTCGACAGATTGGGAATATCAACTGTCATTTTGTTTCTAAGGTTGCAAGGGGAGTTGCTGTGCGATCAGAACGTCTTGTCGCGTTGCGCGATCTTTGCATATGAACACTGTGATCCGTCGGAGAAACAAAGCGGAATTCAATAGATTGAAAGACCCCAATGAGCGTGATGCGACCTATGAGGAAGGCTGCGGGCAAAGAAATGTTGTAAGAGCAAGCAGCTAGAAAGTGAAGGCAGCTGTTCACATGACGTAGCGACTTACCAGGTGTGTTTGTAGAGGATTTATTGTTTGGCCACCAACAAGAGGAATGGGAACAGTGCCCAATCATTTGCCGACACGACTACTTGTTCCATTCCAAATTGCCATAAACGGCCTACATGATATAAGCAAACTCCAAGTTTCTCCAAACATAGTACATATTTTATTTATGCTCGTAGAATAGCTCATGTATCACTACACAAATGTAGCATGCAATAGGTTTTTACGACCCAGAATGTTTCTTGGCCCCCCACGTTGAACGTAATCGTGCGTGGTTTGGTGTAACCGGCAGTATCGTTCCTTCAGCGACAGCACCCCAAACACGCGTGTTACTCTCCCACTTTACTTGTCTGGTTGTGCCAGCTTTTGGTGCTGCCGGCTCACTTCCATGATATAATTGCGAAGCTTATGTAATCGCATTCGAAATTCAGTCTATATTAGAAGATTTATTGCGTATCTAATTCACATAAGGCATGGCTGTTATGATTTTGGATGGCTCGATTTGCGTGCAGGCTTGTGTAACAACCCCACACTGCACGATGAGGTATCGGTAGTGGCTGTGTTACCGGACACATGTGATGAACAGAACATAAGATATGGGGATATGTATCTCTGGTACCAGCATGTCAGCTGTACTTGGGGCTCAGTATTCAAAGCAGCTGCGTATTGAAAACAATAGTAATACTCTAAGAAATACCAGTTTACACTCAGATGTCCACAGAGGCTCAAGCCCATCAACTGACCTTCCACTGTTCTCTCTGCAAAAACACATTGTCTTACCAGGTCACCAACACAGTTAGCAGTTTGTAATAGGAAATTTGTCCACACGCCATCGCAGCAAATGATAAGAGTATTCAGATGCTTAATTACTCAAAGCAATCTATCATTTTATCGCCTCTATTCGGGTGGTTATGGAGCTCTCGTTTATTTCGACCACCCTCAATGGGCTCCCAGGGGTCTCATGTCTATCCAGATTGTCTCAAATCTGTCCCACGTCTGCTTCAAATTCGGTGCGCGATGCCATTGAAGGAATCTAGGATCTGCTGGAGCTGATACAAAGTACTCTCGCGTACGCCGTCACTACTAGCGATCTGGATAATTGTCCCTTGAGGTAAGCCTCCATCCACGCACGCTGGAGAGACGCTGTCACCATCCTTCTTGATGGCACATAGTAAGGCAAATGAGTTAAGGAACTTTCGTTTTTAGAAAAACGCTCTCTCAGCGTACGAATTGAAGGGCTTGACACGAGTGCCATACCGCCTGATATAATCAGAGGGTGTTGCGTTATCACACCACGAGATTCGTCTCGAGGTTGTCACCCAGCAACTTCCTTTCCGCACGTTCGTGGTTCCACATGGGATCAACGAGCCATCAACACACTGACCTCCGACGTCTCGCCGATCATCCCCACTCAAGCAGGCACGCTATCCCACGCGCTATCCAGCACGCTATCTAGCCCGGGAATTTGTTTGCGACTGCGCATTCCAACGACCGTCTCAACGCTCTGATTGAAGGACCACCACAAACCTCGACCTCCTTGATATCACCAACCAAGAGCGATGGCAAAAGCAGTACTTGCCGGCAGTACCGGCCTCGTCGTACGTCCCAGCCACTCATCTCTCACACCACGGATATACAACTAACAACTCTACCCAGGGCTCCAACATCCTCTCCACCCTCCTCGGTCATCCCTCTTTCTCCTCTGTCTTCGCCTTCTCGCGCCGCGACCTACCCAACCCCAATGGCTCCACCAAGCTCCAACCCATCATATCCGGCGATTCCGCGCAATGGGCGTCTCAATTCCCCTCCGCCGAAGCCCCCAAGATCTTCTTCAGCGCCCTCGGCACCACGCGCGCAAAAGCCGGCGGCGTCGAAGCCCAACGTAAAATCGACTACGATCTCGCCCTTGACCTAGCCAAAGCCGCCAAACAAGCCGGCACAGAGGTATGCGTCCTCATCTCGTCCAATGGCGCGAATGTAAAGTCATATTTTGCGTATCCGAAGATGAAGGGTGAATTGGAAGAGGCGGTGAAGGCTCTAGGCTTCAAGCATACGGTTATAGTGCGGCCCGGGTTGATTGTTGGGGATAGAGAAGAGAGTCGGCCGGCTGAGGCGGCATTTAGGAGCCTGGCTAAGGGCTTGAAGGGATTGGTTGGAAGTGGCAAGTTGACGGATGTGTGGGCGCAAGATGCAGACGTTATTGCGAGGGCGGCGGTACAGGCTGGAGTGCAGTGTTTGGAAGGGAAGAGGGAGGATAACGTGTGGATTGTGGCTGGGGAGATTGTCGAGCTAGGTAAGGCGTAGGGTGAAGTTGCATTGAGACGAGGAGAGGTGGTGGGAATGATCGATGCGTGATGATGTTATACCCCCGATTCGATTTCTTTGGTCTTTATCTATGTACACTACGTATCATTTGTCTGCATGGCAGCGCTCAATCCGTCCATTCACGCCGCAAATTTCCTCGACAACGGCCCTCCGAATGCCTGCGCATCCTACGTACAATTCATGAGAAGCGAAGAACGACGATGATGACAATATTCAGTAATTCTACCACTCATAATTGCTGATTAACTACCTACATCATTATCATCTCTCTCTCCCTCCAAATCCCGTCTTACCAACCCATCACACCACCGTCTCACCACCCCTCTCCATCCCTCCAGACCCCCTGACTCGCGCCCGCACGCCCCGGCAGGCCCGCCCGGCGCCCTCCGCTTACCGAGTACCAAGGCAGAAGAAATATCACCCCATCCTCACCCAACCAACAACACACAGCCCACCACCCCCTGCTCGGGGCCCCTAAAAAAACTCGTCTAAAGTACACGGCGGCGCGGACATGCGCGTGCTCAACCTGGTAATTTGCGCCGGTGGTGCGCGACTGCGTTCGATGAGCAATCTAGTGTTTACCGCTTTTGGTAGTTTTTTATTGGCGAATCTGGGGGTTAGTAAGTCGGGTGGGTAAGGGTTGTGCCGGGTGGGTGGGTTTTGCTCACGCCATCCAGAGGAGTGTGGTTGTGGTGGTGCGATGATATGGAGGATTCGCTTGTTGTTTTTTTCGTGATTGCTGTATGCGTGATCTGGTGTGGGTTTTTCGTTTCGGATGGAGAAGGGTGGAAGGGTTGGTTTGGGGGAGGTGTATATAGGATGGGAGTGAAGGTGTTTTTTTTTTGTACCACATCAACGCATACAACCAACAGTGCATACAACGCATATAAACGAGTATATTAGAGACGAGGATAGAGGATATCTACGCAACTACTTGATATCGACAAGACTCTTTTTTTTGTTTCGAGAAGCCGAACCACGAATCTGAAAGACAGAACGACAAGAATCTGAACCATCAATCGACAACACAAGTCTTATTTGGATATTCCATCACTACAACAACAACAACACAACAAAAATGCCATCAGCAACTCAAGCACGTATCATGTGGCGCACCCTCTCCCGCGGCATGGTCGAACCCCACCCTTTTGCCCGCAACCCCATAACCATGGCACCGCATGCCTGGCGCGCCGGCGACTTGGGACAGAGATTCGTCAAGACGAGTGCTGTGTAAGTCTTCTTTTCCTGTTCCATTAAAAAAAAGCAACAACTAACGGGTTTGTCCATAGCTACTTCCCTTTCTACGCCATAATCCTCGGATGGCCTGCCGCAGCTGCGTGGTGGTTCAACGGTAGCATGTGACTCGCCGACGCACAACCCGACAGCGAGGGTGGGGAGAAGAAGGGACTTAGTAGTCAGGAGGTGCAGGATTTGATTCTGAATATGCGGTGGGATGATTGAAGAATTCTTTTGTATATATCTCTTTGGATTAGCATTTGAGGCGTTTGTTTCCTTTTTTTTTGGTTAGAAGTAGGAAGCTTGGAAGACCTTCTGAAATATGAATTTTGAAGTTTCAAAATCCATGTGTTTTTTTTAAAGTGAAGTCGATTATGTGGGTGGAATGGAGATGACTTCGGATACTAACTGATAGGTTGCGGGATATGGTGAAAGATTGTATTACAAGTCTAGGACGATATTACCTATGCCTCTACTCACGCAACTCAACATGCTAGATTCCTTTTCCGATTCTTGAAGCGCGGTCCCGCGATGCTCGATTCGGCCTGAACATACATCTACTGTACATGTTCCGCAATTGCCGACTTCACAGGAGCTGTCAATGTCCATGCCTACAACTTTCAGTGCGTCGAGTAGCGATTGCGTTGCGCCGACTTGTACACTCCTCTTGCTCTTTCGGAGCTCTGCCGTAAATGGATCACCGGAAGTTGTGGTTGTGAAGGCTTCGATGTGGACGGACGACTTGGAAATGCCGTAAGTCTTTGCGGTGTCGACAACATCGTCCATGAGTCGGGTTGGTCCACAGGTGTAGATGTGTGTTCGGTCGTTTGCTTTGCCGAGGATGGAAGAGATGTCTAGGTGCTGGCCGGCGGACTTGTTGTAGATGGTTGCATGTGGGCCTAGTGCTGCGATTTGGGCTACGAAAGGTACTTCCTCTGCAACAGCGTAGTGCAGATGGAAGTTTTGCTTTGTTTCCTGGAGCTGCTCGAGTGCGACCAAGAAGGCTGTAATGCCAATGCCGCCCGCGATGATAATGTGATTGTCTGCTTCTTTGGCTAGCGGGAAGCTCGCTGTGATGCGCCCAACCGTCAAAACATCGCCTATCTTGGTTTGTTCATGCAGATACTTTGAACCACCGCGGCTGTCGGGATCGAGAGCGACGCCGAGTTCAAAACGTTTGGACGTCCCGCTGGTTACTGAGTAGGCGCGCACCAGCTTTCCGCCTAGCTTCACTCGCACATGGCTACCTGGCTGGACAGGATGAGTTTCAAGAACATCCTCTACTGCCTCAAAAGTAAAGGCTGTGACGGATTTGGTCTCTTTCCTCTTCTCTACTAGGCGATATTCGTTCCAGGCGAATGTCTTTTCGTCCTCGCCGCCGAACAATCTACCACTCTGGTCCTCAGCTACGCCCTTGTCAAGTCTAGCCTGAAACTGATCCTTGATATCCCAGCCGAGCTGAGGTATCTTGACGATCTCCTCCATCATCTTAGTGTTGTTGGTTTCGATGAAGAGATAGTACATGACACGTGCCACTGTCCATTCCGGATGTGGTCGTTCAAGCAGCAAGATCATATCCCCTTCCTTGATTGCTCCCGTCTTGATTATGCGATATAGCCAGCCAGTGCGAAAAAGAGTCTGCGTGCGCTTGGCCATATCCTTGACTTCGAAACGGTGATTGAGCTTGAAGCATGGTCCTCGCGGTTCACTAACTTCAACAATGACATCTCCAATCGCCAGCCGATCACCAATGCAAAGTGTCTTCTCGCTGACTTCTGTGCTGAAAAGGTTTTCACCGAATGCGCCAGGTTTGAAGTAGTGTTCTGAGTTTGGCAATTCCTTCCTCCAGTCGTCGTAATGGGATGCGCAGTAGTGGAGGAGAGCCTTGTCGGGGCTCACATGCTTAGGAAATGCATGTTCGTCTGTCGTGATACCCAGTTCGGTTATTTCAACAGAGCCGGTCAAAGGAGTCTTGTAGATTGCCGATTCAATCTTGCCATTCCAAAGGGACTTTTTGATCTTGCCTGCTCGCAGCTGGCTCAGTGGGAAAGAAGAGAATTGAGCAGGGTTTTTTAGTGTTTCTGGATCTGGAGGGGGAGGCGGAATCCATGCAGAGAGTGCCATTATGGTTGTTGTGTGGCGACAAGACGCAGCTAATTGAAAACGGACCGCGTCGAGGGTATTGAATGCCTCAATTATTTATTTGTGTTGAGCCTTCCACCTTTACCTCAACCGCTCCAAGAGATACGCCCGAAAACAAAGATGTGATCAATCTGGCCAGTCATGTGATATGGCCTAACCTGCTGTTGCCTGGGGCGAGAAGTGTTGTTCCTGTAGCGGGTAGGACAATCTAGACCTAAGACCATTCCGTCTTTGGAAGGACGATAGATTAGAAAAGTAAGCCGTCGGGATACGATGACATTGTGTTTTCGACTGAATGCGCTGAAACTCTTTAGTTTCACGAAGTATGATTCGTGTTGTAACCATCTTCTACATCTAATCACTTCAATGTTACGATGGGGTAAGTTACCTCGTTAGGGTAGGGCGTTACGAATCGGTTAACTTTATATGTTAAAATTTGGCTTTAATATCTTCTTAAAAGAGTAAGATTAGCACATTGCTTATTCCACATTCAATAGAAGAACCTATTTCGTTCAGACATATGAAGGACAGATTCCCATAGTCATCGACATGCGTGTCCTAGTCACGTGAGCAAGTACTTCGGTCGGACTTCGGCAAATGACGTCACAACACCGTCGTGCGAAGCTTCACACCCATCTACTCGTCACCTTAACCAATCTGTATATCACCAATATCTGGTTTTAAAACACCTCTCAATAACTCAATTGATACCTTCAAGAACCTTGAACAGCTTTCCAACAGTACCCCCACACAGATACTACATCTAGAAACTCAACTCACTCCTCAAGATGTTCCGCATCCAGCCCGCACGCGCAGTTCAACGCGCAGTCTTCACTCGCCCTCAAGTCGTTCGTCCCCGCTTCCTTTCAACGAGCCCAGCACGATTTGCGCAAAAGGATGCACAAGACAAAGACTCGCTCAACCCACGATCGACCGAGTATGCCAAATCTGGCTCTGATGATGGTGCAGCACATACAGACGCGGCTTTTAACCCCTCAAAGACATCTCCAGAGGCAGAAGAGGCAGATGCTGAGCGCGAAGCTGGTGGGAAGCAGAACAGCTTGAATGTTAGCCCTGGCAACAAGGACATCAGCGAACCCAACAGCCCCACCGTTGGAGGACACGGGGGCGCACCAAACAAGAAGAGCAGTGGTGCAGGCAGTGCACCAAAGAACAGCTCAGGATGAGCATACACAGCGCGTGATGGTTTCTCAGTGATGTCGCAGAAACACAACGGGGAGGCATATATGAGCTGAGCTGGTGCATGGGAGATATGGACGAATGGAGCATTTGGGGCATGTCACAATGGTGGATTAAGCTACTTTTACGAGTTTCAAGAAATGGTGTACATACATTCTTGGGGGAGCAGGCGCATAGCAAGTTCAATCTCAACGTTTAATCAAGATTCGTTTTCTTGTGGTACCCTTGTCCACCTGTTGCAACTTTTGCGAGGCTGCTCACAGATCAGCTCCACTTCAATCCTGGCTGACGTCGTGTAGAGTGCCGAGATTTGAAGTGGAGCGTGAATGCCTACGCAGCAGGTCTCACTGCAGGAAATGACGTCACAGCCCATGACGGTTGTTAAAGACTCCACAGCCATAACATGCTGTCTCAGCGAACATTTTCTCTTCACAAAAACCTATCACGATATTCGTCGTCTTTTCCTCCCAAGCATCCACACTCATCAACTCCCTTTTCAAGCTTCAAAGCACCGACAATGGCACCCCGCACTATTCTTAGCGCTACTACGCGTTCTCTCCGCACACCCATGACCCTGTCGACGCGTCGTACCTTTGCAATTACACAACGCATGGGCATTAAGGAAGATGCCGACCGCAGCGCGGACCAGATTGAGCAAGCCAAGCAGGAACAGCTCAAGGAACAGCAACAGGGACAGGGGCGATGGCGCGAGGATCTAGCCAGCTCTGGCGAAAGCAATATTGCCGCTGACCGGCAACAAGTCGACAACCACGAAGCACACATGAAAGAGTTGCAGCAGGAAGGCAAGAAAAGGGGGGAGAAGGGAGAAATGTAGATTTGTTGGCTGGCAGGGACCATGGATATCATACATACATACACACATGATGATTGAGGCATTTGCAAGCGATTGGTGGCTAGTTTCGTCATCCCAGCAGAAAACGTACAACCCCGTATCGAGGAATACGACTAATTTTTTTTTGAATGTCAAGAGGACAAGAAGCAATGGGTGCATACAGCCGTTGAATTCACCAAGTGTTCCCCAGGCCTCCACTGTTATGAAACGAGGCGGCGCTGTCAGATGCATGCTCTTCGATTTTAGGTGTCAATATTAGGGTGGCGTAGTCTGTTTCAGCAATCAACTAGATCCATCAGGCCCTGCATGTAAGGGGCTGGCTTTGTTCACACAGTTGGCTATGCGCATGTTCTTCCGCTTTCCACCCGAGATGCAGATTGTCGGAAAGTGCGGAATCACGATGCCGTGATTGTGTGGTCGTATGCATGACTAAGATAATATCATGAGGGCAATGCCGCCAGATCTGTCTGTATCACGGTTCGGCCGCACGGTGGTCCGCCGTAATCAGCCAAACTTTTTCGGCAAAGGCATCCATCGGTGTGCCACGCCTGTCCGGGCGGCAACCTAACCTTTCACAGAAGAAATACGTTTCTTGTCGGACAATCCCTGACGATGATCAATACCAACACTAGCCAATACTTTGGTCTCAAACACTCTTACGTTCCTACAGCACTGTGCCAACTACATCGCTAGAACACTTCTTACACAGTATTCCACTCATTTGTATTGCCGTTGGAGACACAGGTCAGATGCCCCCTAAATCTCAGCGCAGCCGCGCTTGTTCCCAATGCCGCACGAGACGCGTCAAGGTTCGTTTACCGTATGTCACATATCCGGTACAACCATTGACCCTTTTCTCTACAGTGTGATGAGACGCCAGAGATATGCAACCAGTGCCGCCGCCTGGGAATCAAATGCTCGGGGCCATTGCAGGGCTCCATCGTCATTGACATGACTGAGCGTGTGGGGAAACCAAAAGGACGAAAAAAGAAAGAAATAGTGAGGGCATCAGCTTCAGCCTCAACTAGCGAGACTCCTGCCACGAAGCCTTCACATCATGCGGTATCTATCGCATCAAAAAAGCCTGCTACCCCGTTAGACATGCCTCTTCAGAACCCCATGTTTCCTACCAACAGTCGACATGCTGAACAGGTGGAGAGGGCCACGATAGCCATCCGCTACCACTACAGGCCTCCTACCTTCAACCAACCTTCGAAAGCCTTGTCATCAACATTGGACAATGCCTTCCTTACCCATTATGTAGAGATCAATCATGTTAAAAACGCCTATGCGCCTGAAATCCAGTGGCTTGCTAACTTGCCAGAAATATTTAGTAGCGCCTCCAAGCCCGCTGTCAGATTATCACTTCGTGCAATGTCGATGGCATTTTACGGCAAGTACCATCATGACTCAAGTATACTCATCGACTCCTGGAGATGGTACACTGTTGCATTGAGTGTGCAGCGAAACTCGATAGCAAAAATGAAAAAGAACAATATCCCAGATGAAGGAGAAGTTCTGGTACCGCTTATCCTTGCGCTATATGAGCTCTACGTTGGCGCAACGTCTGCTGGCTTACTCGCACACTTGGATGCAGCAGGAGAGATCATGAAGATGCGAGGCCCAGCCAACTGTAGATCTGGCGTAATCTGGCCACTCTTCAAAGCCATCCGCGGCCAAGAGGTGTGTTTGCGACATTCCGCATTCTCAATGGTACCACGCTGACGGCTCCTAGGCTCACAGGTCAATCGTTTTTAACAAGAAATCGACATTTTGTTCCCAAGATTGGATGACAATACCATTCGTCGATATGCCCAGCGACCCACACCAGGATCTCGCCGGTATCAACCTTATGATACCTTACTGTACAGCCTATCTAGAGATTCCAGGATCTTTGCGTACTATTTTTGAGATGACCGTACCGCCCAATGTTGATGTGATAACTGCTCAGGAACTCATATCTAAATTGCTCAAAGATCTCGACGGCTGGGCCAAAAAGTACCCTCATTTAACGAAGCAATTCACCAACCCTGAAAACACCCAGACCCCAGAGTCTTCCTCGCAATCTACAAAACAGAAATCTCCAAAAATAGGAAAGACCGACCCAGTCAGGGCACTGATCAGTTCAAACTACATGGCAGATAGAGTCTTGCTCAATATGCTCATGTACAAGATCCACACTGAATCCAGTACTCCGTTGACACCATCCGAGTATAGCATAGGACACTATTATTCCGAAGCGTATAACTGTTCCCGAGCCATACTGCAGACTGCAGCCGAGGTTGAACGCGCAAAAACGCCTGGGTTCGACCTTTTACGCAGCGTCGCTCCTGTGTTGATTGTGGTTTATTGCGGTCCAACGCCGGAAATAAAAATGGAAGGGAAGATGATGTTGGGCCGGTGGGCAAGCCAAATTCAGGGGCTTGCGTCGACCTTGGAACGCTTGTGAGCTGAGTCTTGCCAGCTCCACCTGAAGGCGTGGAGAACCACTCCAGAGATCGAGGCAGGCACCCGTGTACCACAAAGGAAATAGATCGAATGCTAATCATTCCATAAAACTTTGTCCTTGGATCATTGGAGGGGGCAATAATGAGCTCTTTATCACAAACATGGTGTCTTTGTCCATAACAAACAACTCGAGTCTTTCTTTGTTTACTTGGGAATCGTAGACGGAACTCTACCCCGATCACGCATCGGATGTCCTAATATGCTACTGTACAATCAATCCACCCATCATACCCGACTCGGAATATCCGCTGTATCCAACTGAACTGGTTTTGAACGATCTTCGAGTGAAGGAGCAGCGACATAGCAGACGCCCTGCTCGAGACATGGCACCCACATCCCTTTCATTCACCGCCATCAACGATGCATCTTGTCCGAATTTCTTCGGGTCCCAAGAGCATCGTACCCAAGTCAGCAGGGCCATCACCGAAAGTCTCTTTGGGACAACCGCAACATACGAAAGCCTGACTCTCAAAGCGATAACACGACACCAGACACCACCTGATAGCTGGGAAAAGCCAGCCCGCGATATCCTTTCCGAAGCCTCAGCCTCTGGCATAATCGAAACCAACAACCCTTCTCTCCAAAGAAACGGCTGTACTTTACTTCCATCAGCTCCGCTCCAACGAACTCGAACCCCACCACCGCAATCTCATATACCCCTGGGTGACATTAATACAGCACATCCTTTACTCTCACCCCTTTCGCCGCCACCCTCCCATTCACAACCCTCCTCACAATTCGAATGCGGCCAACGCACCACCTGGACACCCCCAGCACTCACCCCACCCCTCTCCTCGCCCACACTCCCCCGCTGCTCTCTATCCCCAAAGCAAACGTTGCGCCAGAAATATCGCTTTGATGTCCCCGTCACACCAGCCATACCCGTCGCCCGGGACTCTATCCACGCAGACCCTGCATGGAATTCTGCGGTTGAGAACTTGCAAGGAGAAGAGATGGAGGAAATAATGTTGACTTTAGATAAAGAAATAGCGCTTTGTGAGATTAGGGAAAAGTACGAAGAGGCGGTGCAGAGGGCGTTGCTGGCGCGGTATAATGGGTTGGTGTGGGGGTGGCGGAGGGAGAGGGTGGTGCGTGGGTCGCTGGGGGGGAAAGCCAGAAAGGGAGTAATGAATTAGCAATAGAGGGCTGATTTAGAGGTTTCGGGGACTAAAAAAGATAAATATTTTTTCTTTTACATGATGGACGCTGGATGTCTGGATGAGGATGCTGCATGTTGTGGGGTCGGCTGAGTTCACTAATCAGGATGATATGGGGGAAAATTCACCCCAGGAAATACTATACCACGCAGAACGCGGATCTACGATTGATTCTGTGATTTAGCAAGGAAGTATCTGAAATAACAGGGCTTAGTGCTCCCCCCTTACTCGCGGAATAAGTCTCCAAGTCCAATGTATTTCGAGATGGTAATCTTGGCTGCGCGCTGACGTGCATGATGAGGTCGTATTGTTTCGGATCCGCACGTGGTGGGAAAGCTTTTGGACCGTCATCTGGACTCGTTCTGGATAAATGGGATAGCAAGATTCTTGGGGTACGTTTGGGGAGATTATGCTTGCGATCAAGATTGGAGAGAAAAAGAGTGTCCGATTCGGCCGGGTACCAGGTACTTGCGTACGTACACGAACGTTACTACCGGTACATCCCCGCCACCATCCAACGTAACATCGCATCGCAGCGCAACTCGACGCTTCGAATTCCAAATTTTTCGCTGGTAAGAGGATATCGCGATAGCGACAAGAGTATTAAAGGGAAAAGGTGTTCGCGAGTCGCTGTTTTCTGTGGCGAATCAATTGCACAGGCCAAGCCTGATTGCAATTGAAAAGTGCGGTTCGTGCAATGAAGCGGGGAAGGTCCGAGTGACCTAAAGTGGAAACCTTATGCGGTTCCGCATACAAACAGTCCACACTAAAGTCAAGAAGCCAGACAATTGCGCCATTCGCATCGTAATTCATGTCGAAAATGGCCTGATAGTCCGATGAGGGGGGTGCCGTGCAGTCCAGATGTCGGGAAAAATGGGGAAGGCTGCTATATAGTTCCGGTAGAGTGTATCTCTTTACCTTTTATTCCTTTGCAAGTCAGTCTCGTACTACAAGTCAATCGCGAACTCCAAAAAGTCTACATTTCGTACCTCGATATCAACCCTCTTTTTTTTTGCTTAAAGAAAAAGATTAATTCAAGATGCCCAGTATCCACCCAGCAATAGACAACGGCATCAAAAAGGGCAACCCCAACTTCCCTGGCGGCAAACTCTACTGCCACTGTCCGTCGGATAAAGTTGAAGTCACGCTCTCGAGCAACGTCGCGCACAACCACGCATGCGGCTGCTCGAAATGCTGGAAACCAAAGGGCGCCCTCTTCTCTGTCATCGGCGTCGTGCCTAAAGAAAATGTCTCCGTCACCGCCAACGGCCATAAACTGCACATTATCGACGAATCAGCCGCCATCCAGCGCAACGCATGCAAGGAGTGCGGCGTCCACCTCTTCGGCCGCATTGTGGTCGACCATCCATTCAAGGGCCTCGACTTTGTGCACACGGAGCTGAGCAACACGAACGGCTGGCAGGAACCGCAGTTTGCGGCGTTTGTAAGCAGTATCATTGAGCAAGGGTTCAATCCGGCGCAGATGGATGCTGTGAGGGAGAAGTTTAGGAGCGTAGGGCTGCAGTCGTATGATGTGCTGAGTCCGCAATTGATGGACCTGATTGCTACGTATACGGCGCAGAAGAATGGGAAGTTGCCGGCCAAGTTGTAGAGGGTTAGGTTGGGGTTGCGATGAGGGGGCGTTTTGGGGGTGTATGTATGTACCGCGGGTGACTGTGTATTTATGTCAGTAGAGGGTGTGCCATGATATAGAGCTTAGAGGTCGGCTCTTTGGGGATTAGGGTACACGAAGCTGAAGACTTGTCAATAATAGTGCGACGTACGCGCTTTTGTATATGATGCGACTGAGCACCGTGATCGCGCGCTAAACTCTTCTTTTGGGGACGAAATCCGAGTTTTGTGTGATGCATGAGAAGACTTAAATCTGTATTGATAGCTTAAAATTTAGGATTTTGGAAATCACATAGTTATCCATTTCTTCTCCTGGACTATTGTGTCGGCGTTTAGATACCTGCTGTGTGGTCAATGTCGCATTGGATAGAAGGATCTTGGTTTTGACCCACAATCTTTCAGTTGATTCAAATGTGTGACATAGCCATTGGTATGTATGCTTACGCTGTCCAATTGCTATCGACGGCTGCTTGAAGTTACGGCCGCTGTGTGTTGTGGCGCGTGAAGCGGTTGGTGCCGCGCTTATGCTGCTCCCTGGAATATCGTATACCTGGCTGTGGCTGACCAGCAACTGTTGATGAGTGTCGCCTGCCCCCTGGCGAGCGATACGCTGCTGATTGGTGTCGCTCACTCCCCTTGCTCAGCGACGGCTGTCGATTGATGTCGCTTACCCCACATCCCGACTATAGTAGCTAGATTCTGTGGCTGATCAGGTGGGGGGAGCGACACCAATTAACAGCCGTCGCTGGCTAATGGGGCGAGCGACACCAACCAACCGCTGCTACCTCGCAGCGGTACTATGTCAATACTCTACTTCCAGCCTATAAGTCGCACGATAGAGAGATATCCAAACAGGGATATTTCTGCAATCTTGAAATCGTTGCGACTTGCAATCACATCGCATTTCCTCTTGCATTGAACACCGCTAGGACGGATCGTGACATATAGCTTTGGCTGCAACAAGGTCAATTGTTTGCTTCTCCTAAACACATACTGTGAGTGATTCTCCAACCTAATTCATATCAGAATATTCAAGGTTGCACTGAAAGATTAGCGACAGCGGCAATGCACATCCATCTGCGCCGAGGCGATGTGTACCTGGATGAAGATCGACTCGGCCTTACCTTTTGCACAGCCGTCAGGATATTGCTCCGATTGAAGACCAATCCATGATCCAACCCTACAAATCCACCAGAACAACGCAAACTTAGAGATCCTCCTATCCGTGCTGTATTTTTGATGCAGCACGACAATGTGATGGTAATCATGTGACAAAGTACCGCGGTACATGCACGGACATATGACGGTATCACACTGTCCCCCGCACTAGTCCTGGCCCCTCAAGGCAGATATTCCCAACGAACAAGCTGTCATCCTACAGCACTCTCCGGCCAGCCCTTGGACTGCGCTTCTCTGTTCTTTATTCCCGTCCTAACGGACAGTTGAAGATTTGCAGAGTCGCTCTGCGTCAATCTCTAGTATCTAGGAGTTCAAGAGTGCCCCCAGGCACGGCGATCCGCCATGGTAGACTTCACGCGACAGCCCCTGAAGGGTGTATACGCAATCTGCGCCATTGGCTTCGAGATTTCCCGCTTTCCAGTGTATCTCGTTACGTTTCTACTCGGATTTGGTCGCCAGAACCCTAAATGGACTTTCCGCCAGGCCATCAGCACGCGCGTCTTCTCCTCGGTTCTATGGCACATTGCAAAACTGCAAGTTGGAACACCACTTCCCCTCACACCAGGAGCAGAAAAGGAGCGATTTATTCTTGTCAAACCCGCCAATTCTGATGCTTACAAAGGACCGCTAAGGAGCAACAAGGATGTTGTGCCCGTGGAGATCGGCGCAACATGGTACCCAGCGCCATTGACAGCCGGTAGCGATAAGAGCAGAACAAAGGTCATCCTGCACACCCATGGAGGCGCATTCGTCCACGGCGACGGAAGGACCCAGGCAAGCGGCTTCATGGCAAAACTGTTACTCAAACACTCACCGGCAACACACATCCTCTGCCCACAATACCGACTCTCCACCCTGCCTGCCTCACCGACATCAAACCCCTTCCCAGCCGCACTCCAAGACGTCCTAACCTCGTACCTCTACCTCCTCAACGACCTCAAGATCCCCCCAAAGAACATCATCGTCTCCGGCGACTCAGCAGGCGGCAACCTCACCATCGCCCTCCTCCGCTACATAACCGAGTACGGCGCTGGACTCGATCTCCCCAACCCTTCTGCCGCGCTTCTCTGGTCCCCCTGGGTCGACCCCTCAGACACATCCTGCTCCTACGTCCACGACAACAGAAACTACAAGACCGACTACCTATCCCCGCCCTTCACCAAATGGGGCACAAGCGCGTATGCTGGTCTTGCAGGCGAGAAAGTCTTGTCTTCGCCGTATGTCTCGCCCAAGTACAGCATGTTCCGCACTCCAGTACCCATGTGGGTAAGTATTGGGGGCAGCGAGTTATTGTTTTTTGATGTGGTGGAGTGGGCGGGCAAGATGAGGGAAGAGGGGAATGAGATTGTGCTGGATTCGGAGGAGAATGTGCCGCATGATATTTTGTTGCTGGGGGGCATTTTGGGGTTTAAGGAGCAGGCACATAATATAGCGAAGATGGCGGGGGAGTGGCTAGAGGGGGAATAGATGGAGGGGAGTGGTGCGACATGGGGAGTGCGATGGGGTATTGGAGACTTTGCTGCTTCGGTTGCAAGTTGACGGCATTATTAAGTTAATATCATTCGCAGTTATCGCGGGACTAGGAATTGTAGTTGTTGTGAAATGGCGAGGACTTTTGGACTTGGACATATCACAATAGACTCGATGTTCATTATCAATGCATTCCTTGCCTGCAACTTTGTCTCGATATGTGACATACTACCTACTGCAAAAATTCAAGCACAAGCTCATTGAACAGCTCAGGCTTCTCCCAGTAACACCAGTGCCCACCCCATTCCACCGTCACTCCCTTCGCAAGACCCTCATCCTTCCCTCCATTGATCAGCTCAACAACCTTCAACGGACCATCAGCCGGGAAACATCCACTCCTACTACTCGCAACCACCAGCACCCGCGTCGCACTCTTACTCCCCGGTCCAAAATTCTGCGCAATCGAATACCGCCAATCATTCGCCGTATGATCCGCCATCAACTTGCCATACCACCACCCCTCTCCCTTCATCGCCTCTCCCAAAAAGAACTCTTCATCCTCCTTCCAAACCTGCGACTCTGGCGTTGGATCCCCAGACCGCGGGTGCGATCTATACCCCAGACAGGCGGCAATCGTCCCTACATGCGCCTTTTCCGGCTCGTGAATCAACGATTTCTGCATCGCTAAAAGGGCATCTGGGGAGTTACATCCGCGGTTTCCAAACGATGGGCCCCAGTCGTCGAGGTAATTCTGCAAGGGGGCTTGATCCACGAAGATCATGTGGGAAAAGGGGGATGTAGTGAAGAGTTCGGTGTAGGACCAGAGGATCGCTGCGCCGAGACTTGTGCCCATGGCTTTCACAGCAGCATTGCTGAGATTGAAGTGGTCGAGTAGGTTTTTGAGGTCCATGGCTAGGCGCGAGACGTGGTAGCCGGCTTTGGGTTTGTCGGAGCTGCCATGGCCCCGGAGATCGGGGATTATGACATAGTGGTGCTGCGAGAGGGCGGTGATGTTGCGCTTGAAAACGGCCCCAGAACCTGTGAAGCCATGGAGCTGGTGGACGTGGTCAGGTGGATGAGCGGGGTGGAGGTTGGGTGCTTACTAGAATCAGAGGGGTGTTTTTGTCAGATCCGTGTGTTTCGTAGGCAAGTGTGATTCCATCGTTGGCTTTGAAGGTAGGCATAGCGATGATTGGATTGATTGGGCTTGAATCAGAGAAAGTAGTTTGGATGCAAGGTGGGGGAGGATGGTGTATGATTTGTAAGCAATCTGGGGTACAATGGAGCTTAGCTTGAAGGCTTGTCTTTGATACAAAATATTGTGACTATTTTGATATTGTACCGGTGGTTAACGTGAGCGGCAAGCGAAGCGGCCGGGTAAGCGAAGCGGCCACCTAATTAAGTATTTTATCTTTGTACGTTAATAACTCAACACCACAACA